GTTGTGAACCACTGATCTACAATAAAATCAAAATGATGTATTTTCTTTAAAATACAGATAAAATCCTGAAATAATCCACTCAGCACTGTTACTTTAAAAAATGGTATGATTACTTTGACTTTTATTTTTTATTTTTAACAAATTCAACTTCAGCTGCGTTGTTTTTGCCTTCATTGGTGTTTGTTAGCTGGAGTTATAAATGTTATCTAATCTATAGCTTTTGGAGTCAATCCAATCCAAGATGGCTGCCACAGCTGGTTGATGTTAGGAAACAAAAACAGAGCTACAACTCAGATTTAGATGTGTTAGAAGTTGAGTCATTCCCAACATACTCAGATCCCACCTGAGATTAACTAATCCTAACAATAATCTGATTTTAGAAAGAACTTGGGTGATTTTATAAAAAAGGAAGAAGCTGTGATGATTTTTTCAGCTCTGAGGCTTCAGTTTGTTTCGGAGCTGATGGTCTCTTCAGTTTGGGTCCTGATGTTGGTCAGATAATCCATCTCACAGACCAGATCTGTGTCAACGTGACCGTAGGACTGAAGGGTGAGCAGCTGCTGCGCTCTGATTGGCCCGGCGTCGATGACGCTCGCCACGCTCAGACCGAAGGTCAACGTCTGAACCCCGAGGCCGCCGATCGACCGAGGGGACACGTCCTCATTCAGCTCCTCAGGTGAAGACCGGTCGTTTGGGCCGACCAGGACCAGACTTTTGTTTTTGAGGACGTCCGTCACCTCCAAGTCTTTCATGTCCAGGACCATCTTCTCTGCGCAGTCCTGAGGGGAGGGATATGAAACAGGGTTAGGGCCACTGGAAAAAAAATACTAATCTGACTTTAATCTCAGAATTCTGAGATTATGTCACTTTTTTTTCCCAGTGGGCCTAACCCGAACCACAAACATGCAGATAAAACTCAAGACTGTTCAGTGTTTCTATCTGATGTCAGTTCTGCAGAGTTGTAAAGTAACCAAATTCAAATACTTTCTTACTGTATTTAAGTAGAATTTTTGTGTATCTGTACTTTACTTGAGTAATTATTTTTCAGACTATTTTTTACTTCTACTTCTCACGTGTTCACACAATTATCTGTACTTTTTACTCCTTAATTCTTTTTAAAAAGGCAAGGAGTAGAAGTCATTATTTCATTTTTGCTTGTTTACATTCAGCTTGTTATTGTAAAAAAATAAATACTATCCATCTAAACTGTGCCTCCTAGACAGAGTGAATTTAATTGGTTGAATGAGAAGTATAAATATATAAAGTTCTGATACTGTATTAGTTTGTACACAAACAAATCATGTCACACTCCAGCAGGACATAATTACTAAAATAAAAGGCGTGTACAGTATTTAAGAAGTATTTGTATTTCATGAATTATACTGTTGTATTTTGTAGAAAAGCTTTGTGCAGCCTTGATATATGTATATAAACTGAAACAGCTGGACTAGTGCCTCCTAAATTTAACATAAACTAATTATTTTAATACAGTAAAGTCATTTCTGCAGTTTTTGGGGAGGTCACCTCCTAATAAATGTCCTTACAGAAAATCTAACTGCTCATTTTAAATCAATACTTTTACTTTTAATACTTAAGTACAAAAAATATCATATTCTTTAAGACTTTTACTCAAGTAATATTCTTAAAGGAGACTTTAACTTTTACCAAAGTAATTTTTTGGTAAGATACTTGCAGAGTTGTATAAAGTACCACAAAGTGATACTTGAGTAAAAGTATAAGTATCTTACCAAAAAATTACTTTGGTAAAAGTTAAAGTGTCCTTTAGAAATATTACTTGAGTAAAAGTGTGATATTTTTTGTACTTACGTATTAAAAGTATAGATTTAAAATGAGCAGTTAGATTTTCTGTAAGGACATTTATTAGGAGGTGACCTCCCAAAATACAATACAGAAATGACTTTATTGAATTAAAATAATGAATTAATGTTACATTTAGGATGCACTAGTCCAGCTGTTTCAGTTTATATACATATATCAAGGCTGCACAAACATTTTCACCAAAATAAAAATCTATCTGAGCTGCGGCCAAATGTAATAATATAATTCATGAAATACAAATACTTCTTAAGTACAGTCTTTTTATTTTAATGATTATGTCCTGCTGGAGTGTGACATGATTTGTTTGTGTACAAACTAATACAGTATCAGAATTTTATACATTTATACTTCTCATTCAACCACAATTAAATTAACTATCTAGGAGGCACAGTTTATATGGATAGTATTTATTTTTTACAATAACAAGCTGAATGAAAACAAGCAAAAATGAAATAAAAGTAACGACTTTCTACTTCTTGTCTTTATGTAAGGAGTAAAAAGTACAGATAATTGTGTGAAAATGTAAGAAGTAGAAGTAAAAATTAGTCTGAAAAATAATTACTCAAGTAAAGTACAGATACACAAAAATTCTACTTAATTACAGTGAAGAAGCATTTGTACTTAGTTACGTTACAACTCTGGATACTTGTACTTTTACTCAAGTATCAGTTTTTGGTACTTTATACAACACTGCAGTTCTGTAAAAGCTTTCTTCCAGTTTTCCTTTTGCATCTATTTGCCTCAACGATTTGTGATCATAAGACATTTTTAAAAAGCTTTATGTTTGCAGCTTTAGCACACGCTTGGAATAAAAAAAATCAAAATAAAAGCCATCAGGTTACCTCTGGGTTCGGGTTCATCAGCCACTGACCTGTCGAGCTCAGTCGAGGGCTGGAGATGTAAGGGAAGAAGTACGACTTGTACCTGCAGACAAATGTTCACTGTGAAGCAAACTGAAATAACTCCAGATGAAGTGGAGACAATAAGAGCAGGCTCTCACACAGTCCTGGACAGGATGGAGATGATCACCACCGTGACGGTCAGCAGCAGGAGAGGCGTCGCCGTTGCCACAGCTGGAGCCTCATCTGGACAAACAGTTCAGCTTTCATTTTATTTCCTTCGAAAACAAAACACAAAAAACAACCTGAACCGACTCTTTAATTTGCTGCTTCGACCAGTGGATCGCACCGAAATATGTGCTGACGGTAAGAATGCTTCTGGAAACGTTATCGGCCTGCAGCAGGACAGAATACTCCGTGTTGGGGGTCAGGTTGAAGAAGGTGTGCTGTAGTTGGTCCGGCCACAAAGACACAGCTTAAAGAGACAAACTATTTTTACACAATTTCAGATATGATTTAAACTGATGCTTGTTTCAGGAGAAATCCTACTCTGTTTGTGAGAGTCTCTCCTCAGCACTGCCCTGTAGCTCTCCACTCTGATTGGTTCAGACTTCAGTTGCCACGCCCACATTATGGTCACTGTTGTTTTGGTCACGCTGACGACTCTCAGGCTGATGGCTTCCATCAGTGCTGTGGAAACAAAACAAACAAAAAGCTCTGACTTTTATGGACTTTTATCCTTTTTAAAGTTTGTGTTCAGAGAGAAAATCGTTTCATGTGGCCGAAAAGTGACGTCATGCTGCAAAACACACAAACATTCACCTCCCTGCTGCAGACTGGCTGTCAGAGACTGAGGAGGTCCACAAAGCTGGAGGTGGACCGGGAACACACTGATCAGGTAGGACTCCTCAGGGTCAACATCTGCAGAAATACACAGATTAATACTATAAACAAGATGTATCTGTGTAGTGATAAACTCCTCTGGTTAACAATAACGATGTGTTTCTGTGAGACTGAAGACGTTCAGTGTTTCACTGCAGCTGAAAATCAAAACTAACCAGAAACAAACTGAAGGATTTCACGGGATTCTGTTAAAGAAACTGAAAACTAAGATATTATAGTTAAAAGTAGCAAAAAGCTAAGTAAAAAAAAGAGTCAAATTGTAAAGTCCAAAATGAATCAAGCTTACAGAATTTTTCTTCTCTTCTTAAGAAAATTTGAACAATCAGTAAAATGTATGAAAAACTGAGAACTGACTGAGAATTTACTGTGCAATGTTTTTAGTACCACACTTTACAATAAGGCTCCCCTTATAGAAGGCTTATAAAGAGTTTATAGATAGGTTACTAATTCATCTGTAAAGTTTACACTTTATAAATCATTAGCAACGCGCTAGCCATGCCCAATCCAGTAATATATATCAATGACTTGGCCCCTCAATGAATATTGTGACCCCTGATGGCCCCTTACTCAAAAAAAAAAAAAAAATCCTAGATCCGACACTGCTAAAAGCTAAAATTAACAAAAAGGAAGATAAAAGAAGCAAAAGGACAGAAAATAGTTAATAATTAAAAGTAGCAAAGGGGTAGCTAAAAGATGCAAAAGGTAAGCAAAAAGTAGCTAAAGCCTTGCCAAAAGTGTCAAAGCTAAAATTAGCAGAAAGTAAGCTAAAATAAACAAAAGGACAGGAAAGTAGCTGAAAACTAAAAGCAGTAAAAGGGATAAAGGTAACAAAAAGCTTGCTAAAATCTAAGGGGCCAAAAGGCCAGTGAGAGGTTTTATTTTTTTTTCTCACTTCAGCCTTCAGAGGAGTCGGACCTGGTTTTTGGCTCTCTCCAGAACCTGTCCCCCCAACCCCCACTCTGATTGCTAATCTTTCAAGCTTTTTTCACCCACCATCCGAAACAAAAAGGAATTACGAATTTGGTAAAATGATCTCTGAACGAAACCGACACTATTTTTCCCACATTAAGACTGGAACAAGGGGAAAGAAGCTGTCTGACTGGAAAGGTTGCTGCGGGGCGGATCAGTGATTCTTGGAGGAGCTGCAACCTGATGTGACTCGCAGCATTTTCCATTGAAGACGTGGATGATTTGTACATATTTGGATTTATGATAACTGGATGATTTCTGCTGATTGGAGGAGGTGGATTCCTGATATATCAAAAAGTAAAAGCGTTGAGAAGCTGTCGGGCGCAGTGGAAGGATTCTGCTGGGCTGGGAGCACACTGACTCAGCTGCTCGGGGAGATAAATCACAAACTGGATGTGATTCTGATGAGGATTGCAGTCCATGAGCGAGCCTCTGGCATGTAGGATTATATCTGGGTGAAGCTTCAGACGGTGAGAGGTGAGGAAGACCCTGAATTTGGCTGATTGGATTTTTTTTGCCACTTTCAGAGATGCAGTAAGACACTGAAGGCAGCAGGAAATTCAAGGCTGCTTTGTTCCACAACAATTGTGTTTATCTATTGGCTCCCAGCAGCACGGCCTCGACTGCCATGCTATATAAACTCCCCAAGTATGATATGTCAACAAGGGCTTGATTTCCTCCCACCCCATCACTCATGTTGGACCTGGCCTGTGAATCCAAGGCAGAGAAGGAGACTCTTAACTCTGGTGAGTCGAGACGATAACATCATGTGACTCTAAACTCTGGGGGGCCTATGGTCGGGCCCTATACGGAGACTCACCCTCAACGTCACCGACTCCACTGATCTCCGCCCCATCTCATGTGTTATCTGACCTAAACTCCCTCCCTGCCCCGGGCTGTCTTGCTCTATCACGAGTCATTTTTTTGTGCATATGCCCCTGTGTTTCTAATGTAAACATAGGATCAGAGCAACTTTTTAACTCAACTTTCCAGCTGTTTAAAAGGTAGCGCGACCCAGTTGCTGCATTGCCTGCTCACCTGTTCCCCCATGTTTTGTCATGTCTGTTTTCTTGAATGGGCGTTCTTAACTGCATTTCGTTCCACACCGCATCCCTGATGTTATGTTTGAATGACAAAAAAGAGAATCTGAATCGGAATCATAAAAGTAGCAAAAGCATCAGAAGGATCGCTCAAAGCTAAAACCAGCAAAAAAAATTAGCTAAATGTAGTGGAATGTTAGCTGAAAACCAACATAAGAAAGCAAAATCAGAGCCAGTTTGCTGAAGTATTTTTGAATGAACTTTAAAATGTGTTTGAAGGAGTTGAACAAATCAAAATGTATTTCTTTAAGGAAATTATTTGTAAATGAAATTTTTGGAAAAATGTAAAAGCTTTTTTTTAAAATCAGCACTCAAACAGGCAGAAGTAGATAGATTGCAAAAAATCTACAAAAGAAGAAGAAGAAGAAGAAGAAGAAGAAGAAAGCAGATGCATTAAAGTGTGAATGGTAGTTTTGTAATCTGCTACAGATTATCTGTAATGTTGAAGCATCTTGTCAGATTAAAGCATTCAGACCCTGGATGATGAAATAGGAGGTAGTGAAGCCGTCGACTCTGGTCCAGCCTCTGGTGGACGGACGTGTCTCTGAGCTCCACTCAACAACAACATGGCTGACAGCAGAGGACGAGGAGGGACAGGACGCCCACTGAACCAGAAGACTTTGGGATTTTGGATAACAGCTTGAAATCCACAGATTTCTCAGAGACGGAAGAGCTGCAGAAAACAGAAACAGAATTATTTAAATGCAGCATTTTATATTTAAATAAATGTCAGTTCATCATGTCTGATTTAAAGAGTCAGTCAGGCTGATGATCTAATAACAAAACAAATCAAATAAATGATCACGTCAGACTACAGAACACAAGAATAAATAAAAACCTTTAGTTGCAACCACTGATTAAATGTCATAAAGACGTTAAAAAAAACAAAGTCTTGTCTTGTTTAGTGAAATTATTCAGCAGAAGATGTAACAAAATCTTACATAAAGGTAACATTTCTGCACAGTTTCTTTATATTTTCCTAAATAAACAAAAGTTTCACACTAAAAGTTGAAACTTTTCCCAACATCGCCTCATCTTTACTCAAACACCCGAGGCCATTAGCCTTTCTGCAGAAAAGTTTATCGGACATCTTGTCACTTCCTCCTCTAATAAAAACTCACAAACATGCTCAGGATGTTGCAAAACGGAAGAAGCAGAAGATAAAAATATGATTTTGCAGCTCAGAAACCTCCTCCAGTCTGTTTTAGGGGACCTTTATGAAACTGGTGAGGCTTGCAAATAAACTCCAAACTCAAAATAGGTAAATGTCAAAATGTAAATTAGGTATAATTACATAATTTGCAAATCTCAAACTCATATTTTATTCCCAACACATCAGATGTTTAAGCTGAGAAGTTGTACCATGTTTTGTGTGCACAAAAGTGCAGCAACACATCTCAAAAGATTTACAAGAAAAGGTTCTGTAAAAATAAGGAGCTTTTTGTTAGACATTAGTTCAGTGACGGAGGTTAAAACCAGCATTTTAGAAACTGTTAGAAATAAAAACTGGCAGAGATTCATCAGTCTGAAAAATATTCATATGTTTGACAACTTTTGTGTTAAACACTGGACCGAAGGCAGGGGCGGAGCTAGACTTTTTTGCAAGGGGTGGCAAAGGTGAATCACGCACTCTGGATTTGAAAATTCAAGATGGCCACCACACCACTTTCAGCTGTTTTAAGAAATATTGAGCAGAAATTATGTGTGATCACAGCAAAGAATGATTTAAAAAAACCTGCTGAATACTAGTTGCAACTTTTTATTCAGCCGTTTTTGGACGCATAAACCTGAAGATTATTTTAAAATTAGCCAAAAACAATTTTTTTTTACCAAATTCTAAATGCTGATCAAAACTTTGAGATGGCCACCACAGCTAACTCTAAAATAGTTAATAATTCAGCCTTTTTAAGACTTAATGAGATTAAATTTGTTGTGGAGTAGCTAAGAATGATAACACGCTAATTCCAAATTAAATAAACCAACCATGAAGGCTAATGCTAATTTTACAAAGAGCTATAATTCAGCCACATTTAAACATACACTTTTGAAAATTTATACAGTAGAATAAGAGAACAATCTAACAA